GGGTTTAACGCCGCTTTTAACAATATTCCAGTTATATCACGGCGTGTCAGCTTAATATGGGAGGAAAGCTCGAAATGATGCATGTCTCAGACGTTTACCACTTCGGTGAAACCCACGAGCACGGGTATGGTGCTGACAAACCTAGAAACATAATCAGGGCGAACCGGGATTCGAACCCACAATTATTGGTTTCTGGCGTGCCCAAGGTTACGACAGTGGTGTGATCAAAATAATATTATTCATGAGACACAAGAAGGATTCAGATCAAATCATTCCACTGCTGATCATATATTTTCACTCCATGGAATGATCCAGAAATATGCCTGCAAAAAAGAAGGTAGATTCTACTGTTTGTTTATTGATTTTTCAAATTAAAGCTTTTGATATTGTTAAACATGATGCATTACTGTCAAGCCTTAAAATGTTGGTATAAAAGGGAGATCTTCAATATTCGTTCATCAATGTATTCACAGCTATCAGCCTGTATAAGCACATCAAATGGATTGTCTAGTTACTTCAGTTGTAATGTTGATACTCGTCAAGGGTGCATCTTGAGTCCCCAGATGTTTATTATTTTTATCAATCAACTTATTAGTAAGATGGTAAAATATGGTGGACAAGGTATACATATATATCTCCCGATGCAAATAATCTATTTGCACTCATGTTTGCTGATGATGTTTCTGCTGTCGCTGATACTGCATTACAGTTACAAGATAATTGGTTTGGAAAAACAATTGTGAATTATCTGGTATGAAAGTAAATTTGAAAAAGACTAAGTTTATGGTGTTTCGTAACAACGGCCCACTGCGACACTATGAGAATTGGTCTCTTCAAGGCCAGAAGCTTGAGGTGGTATCATTTTATAGATATGTAGGTATAGTATTTGAACCCAGACTAGTTTGGACTAAAGCACAGTCCTGCCCTGCATCACAAGGAAATAAAGCCATACTAGCAATATACAGGTGTCAAAAGAGAGTAGGTAATATAAATTGTACTGATCTTTTCAGGATTTTTGATGCAATCGTTACACCAATATTGTGCTATGGGTAAAAAATCTGGGGAACAACATATTGTAAAACTACTGAAAATGTTCAGATAAGAAAGTGTTAATATTTCTTGAATGTTGGTAAATATACGAGGGGCGTTCAATAAGTTTTGCAACTTAGGCATTTGTGTCTACACAAACAATTTCAACTTGTGGCAGGTGTGACACTCGTCATAACATCAGGTTGACACGTGTCATAACAAGTTCCAGACACAACAATAAGTTAGATGTGATGGCTTCATTCACCTAAGGGTGGTCACAATCATGGATTCTCTCAAACATGAACAACGCGCTGTAATAAAGTTCCAAGGAGGGATGCAAAGCACAAGAAATCCATGATCGCATGTGTAAAGTGATGGGTAAGGATGCTCCTGACTATTCCACAGTTTGACTTTGGTCTCTACAGTTTAAAAGGGGTAGGAAGTCCATAGACGATGACCCAAGGTCAGGCAGGCCTTCAGATGCCACCAAATCGGAAACCATTTCTGCTATAGAAAGAAGAATTTTGTCTGACCGACGAGTGAAAGTATCTAAATTTTCTAGGGAATTCCTAATATCAGTTGGAACTATTGTAACCATTATTCATGAGCATCTTGGTATGTCCAAGGTATCTGCAAGATGGGCACCTCCGAGCTCAAGATCGCTATCAGAGAACTGAAAGTTGTCGAGACCTCCTGGATCTCTTTAGTGCTGATGAAGCCAGATTTCTTTCTAGTCTAGTGACAGGTGATGAAACATGGATCCACCACAGGGACCCAGAAACTACACTGGAATCCATGCAATGGAAGCACCCCTCTTCTCCGCCTCCGAGGAAGTTTGCCTCCGAGAAAGTAGCGCACTCAACCATCGGCTGGCAAGGTAATGGCCACCATATTTTGGGATGCAAGAGGCATATTACTGATTGATTACATGCCCCCCAAAACTACAATCAACGGACAGTATTATGCTAATGTATTGAAAGAATTGCGAAAATCTATTCTACAGCAACGCCGTGGGATGTTAACACGTGGTATTCCACTTTTGCATGACAACGCTCCGGGGTTCACAAGTAGGGATTTGCACATGTGAATGTGGATTCGAACAGTTAAATCACCCCCCCAGTGACTATTTCCTGTTCCGGCAAATGAAATCTGCCCTTCGTGGAAAACGCTACCAGGATGACGAGGACATAAGGGCTGCCACAGAGGCTTGGTTGGAGGGCCTATCTGCGGATTTCTAAAAAAGTGGTATTAAAAGTTTGAAGGACGAATGGAATAAGTATATTGAGGTGAATAGAGATTATATTGAAAAATAAAAGTGCAAAAGATATTCTGCGACTTGGTCTTATATTGAAAATGCAAAACGTATTGAACGCCCCTCGACACATGCAATAGTATGGTACTTAATGAATGTGGTAGAGCTCCATTTCAGCTTACATACATATCACGGGCAGTTAAGTACTGGTGTAGACTAATCACTCGAGATTGAAATAGGCTACCTCATCAATGTTATTTAATGTTAAAGTCTCTTGATCATGCGGCAGAGTCACATCGGCTACGCATATCAAACATATTGTATTTCAATTTAGGTTTGGTTTTGTATGGATTAACCAGGATGTTGGAAATAATAACATTTTATCAGATAATTTAAGATAATACTTCTTGATAATTTTTAACAAAACTGGTATTCTACACTACACTCTTCTCATACATGTGCTAACTATGTGTTATGTAAGACACTTTTACTTGTGGAAACATACTTATGCATTGCTATTCCTTTACATTTGAGAATCTGTTTCACAAGATTTAGATGTGGCAATTTCGGACTTATGACAGAAACAGGAAGATACACGAATATACCATAGCATTCAAGACTATGTCCTCATTGTAGGCTAAATGACAAAAATATACTTAGAAGACGAGAATCATATTTTACTTGTATGTGATGCATATACCTATATTAGAAAAAAGTATATTAGTAAATACATCAGAAATGACAGTGCAGTAAACATATTCATAAATATTATGAACACTCAAAATAAACAAACAATAAGTGTTTATATCTATTCAATGTGCAAAAAATAAGAAATATGTTCAATACCACTTAACATACCTATTTTCCAAGAATGCTACATACGATATGTGTATATGTGTGTATGTATATGTATATGTGTGTGGGTGGGTGTGTATGTGTATGTGTGTATGGATGTAAAATAGCGCAAAGAAATGAAACCTTTATATGTCTGTATTTTGGGCCACTGGCCTCTCTACTGACTAAAATTGTCTTGTTTTTGCAAAGGGACGCAACTCTGCACAGCGCCTCGCGGCGCGTCAGACGACTGGGCCACCTGTGACAGTAACTCTGTTTTGTGGTAAAGATCAAGTTTGTTAGATTTGAAAACAGCATCCATCTAAACTTACGCAGTGTTGTTGATATTATTATTATGAACAAGAGTATATCGGCTCGAGAACATTTGTACTGAAAAGAGTGTTGGTCATAACTATATTCTCCCCAACTCTGAAAGTTTAACGGAAAAAGTTTGAAATTACTTCTGCATTTTCAATCAATGCTGTCCTTTTTAAATGGTGTTATCTCGTATCTGGCAGAGCGTGAAATAAAGACTATGTGTCATTGCCACAACACCGGCACCTCATTTACCATCTATCGCCATCACATGGAGATAACATTGCGAGTTCTGACAATCATTTCTCTGGAATAACCTACTTTTCAAATTCAAGATTGAGCAAAACGATTGATTGCAAACAGACTGAAAGGCGATGCACGGGGAGAAGCCAGGAGGTTATTCACGCAGTGAAATAGTCTGTCGCCGGATGAAGCTCTGAATTACCATTTTAAAGTTTTGATTTAATATATCTCTTCGATAGAAAGCCTTCACCTCCTGAGTGATGGAATAAAAAGTCTTAACTGTCGCCGTTATGTATTTGAAAAACTAGACTTAAAGATATGACACAAAGATTCGTTTCATTTGCAAAAATGGATATCCAGATTATATGCTTTCGTGACGGTTACTTTGAAAATGACAATAAATATTGATTGTGGCAATATCATCGTGTCAAGCAGCATTATTGCTCTGTGCACTGGCAGGGGGGAACAACTATAGTGCCAGACGACGTTTTATTGTTGTGCAACAACAAGAACGTTAACATTAAAGCAGCCAAATTCCAGCACAGTGGGGCGTGGTGTCATATTTAAGAATCCCCTTGAAGTTCCGGGTTAGAATAGGTCTTCAGCAACCCATGATTGCCGTAAAAGGTGTCGATGCTCGTCGTAAGGGGCGTCATCGTATCCCAATAGCGTGCTCATGATGTTTATCACTGGATTATCTGGCCCTGATTCAATTATTTATAGACCGCCGTCATATAGCTGGGATATTGCTCAGTGCGGCGTTAAACAACAAACAAACACATCAAGTAAACATCGCTTGTGGGGCGGTCCCTTGTAAAAAGACCTTATACGTAGGTACTCAAATCTGACCCTGAAAACAATCTTGGCTTTGTAGGGAGAGTCTAAACTTTTTCAGCTGTAAATTATTAGTCTAAACACGGACGTACATACAAAGGATAGGAAGCCTGCAGCGATAGCCTTTGGCGATGTGCGCCGCGCAATCGGGCCAAGCCAATCGACAACACATGTGAAAGACCCCCTGCCGTGAGGCGCGAGTGGTCGAACGTTGGTCATCTGGCGCTTGCGCAATGCCTAGTTTATCGACTTCCTTAGTTACCCAAACTTCCGGATAATAGCGCGTGTCAGAATTTTACTACACGAGAACGCCATGTGCATGTACATTTCACATGTTCCGCAGATGTATTGCCGATTTTATCACGTATGTAATAAAAACATGACTGTTATATATGCCTACTATGTGTTTGTCAGTCATTCTTATTTCAATTACGCTGCGAACACGATGTCAGATTATTTGTATTGGGACGCTTCCGATGTTGATTTATCGGAAATGTTGGATGAATGGACGGAGTATGAATTAGATTTCAGCTCTGATTCATGGTCTGAGGAGGAAAGTAATTCTTCCAAACGACCGAAGACAGAGACGGACACCTCGGCGAAACCTACACCAAAGACGTACGGCTACCAGTGTCCAATATGCTTGAAACAGTATTTGTCCGTATCAGGGTATATACGTCTTTGGTCTAAACATGTTTATGGTATTCACCGAGAGGACGGATGCAGGCCCACAGCAATCGCTGTGCGGGAAACGTTGACTCATTTCCGTGAAGCGAGGTCTGCCTGTCGAGAGGGTCGGGAACAGGATCTCACAGCAGGGAACAGCGACATCACAGCAGATTACAACTATGATACAGCAGGGAACAGCGACATCACAGCAGATTACAACTATGATACAGCAGGGAACAGCGATATCACAGCTGATTACAACTATGATACAGCAGGGAACAGCGATATCACAGCAGATTACAACTATGATACAGCAGGGAACAGCGACATCACAGCAGATTACAACTATGATACAGCAGGGAACAGCAATATCACAGCAGATTACAACTATGATACAGCAGGGAACAGCGACATCACAGCAGATTACAACTATGATACAGCAGGGAACAGCGATATCACAGCTGATTACAACTATGATACAGCAGGGAACAGCGATATCACAGCTGATTACAACTATGATACAGCAGGGAACAGCGACATCACAGCAGATTACAACTATGATACAGCAGGGAACAGCGATATCACAGCAGATTACAACTATGATACAGCAGGGAACAGCAATATCACAGCAGATTACAACTATGATACAGCAGGGAACAGCAATATCACAGCAGATTACAACTATGATACAGCAGGGAACAGCAATATCACAGCAGATTACAACTATGATACAGCAGGGAACAGCAATATCACAGCAGATTACAACTATGATACAGCAGGGAACAGCGATATCACAGCAGATTACAACTATGATACAGCAGGGAACAGCAATATCACAGCAGATTACAACTATGATACAGCAGGGAACAGCGATATCACAGCAGATTACAACTATGATACAGCAGGGAACAGCGATATCACAGCAGATTACAACTATGATACAGCAGGGAACAGCAATATCACAGCAGATTACAACTATGATACAGCAGGGAACAGCGACATCACAGCAGATTACAACTATGATACAGCAGGGAACAGCGATATCACAGCAGATTACAACTATGATACAGCAGGGAACAGCGATATCACAGCAGATTACAACTATGATACAGCAGGGAACAGCAATATCACAGCAGATTACAACTATGATACAGCAGGGAACAGCAATATCACAGCAGATTACAACTATGATACAGCAGGGAACAGCGATATCACAGCAGATTACAACTATGATACAGCAGGGAACAGCAATATCACAGCAGATTACAACTATGATACAGCAGGGAACAGCGATATCACAGCAGATTACAACTATGATACAGCAGGGAACAGCGATATCACAGCAGATTACAACTATGATACAGCAGGGAACAGCAATATCACAGCAGATTACAACTATGATACAGCAGGGAACAGCGATATCACAGCAGATTACAACTATGATACAGCAGGGAACAGCGATATCACAGCAGATTACAACTATGATACAGCAGGGAACAGCGATATCACAGCAGATTACAACTATGATACAGCAGGGAACAGCGATATCACAGCAGATTACAACTATGATACAGCAGGGAACAGCGATATCACAGCAGATTACAACTATGATACAGCAGGGAACAGCAATAGCTCATCTACAGTTATTTCTGTACTCAATATCACAGAAGGGAGTATCGCTACCACAGCGGAGACTAACGATATCACAGTAGGGAACATCGATATCACAGCAGGAGCATCGATATCACAGCAGGGAACATCGATATCACATGGTCGTAATGCGCAAACGCTTCAAATACACTGACCCACCATCGCCTACAAACGTAAACGACTGATAATAAAAGATAACCAATGGTTACGTATCTTCATGTGTACATTATGTTTCCTCTTTGAACAAAATAAAGATAAAACTAGAAGACCAGCAATAGTCACTCACACAAACAGGCCACCGAGCGGCAGGTAGTTTCATGTTATTAATATAAGCCAAGCTACTTTTATATTCTTTACGTTGACTTAACTGCAAACTTAATCTTAAAATCTCAATTCTTATGTATATATAATGCACGTGAAACCGCGCCCTGGACACGCTTGGGAAGTCGGGATGAGAAGTGTATCGAATTCAAATTAGGCGAGCATCGAAGCAGCTCCTAAATCTCTCGCCAACCAAAGGGACACTGTTGCTATGATAACGTTTGCTATAACGGGGCAGGGTGAGGACAAGGTGTAGATAATTTTATGGATTAAACATTAAAAGATTCGAAACATCAACAAATTAAGGCCTTGAATTTGGTTCAGCGGAAATCCAGCCTTGGGCATAGTATTGGATTCCTTCAATGTTTCCAGTTGGATATCCATGTGAAGGTAATGGTACAGTGACTGCTGTGTGTGCAGTGCTTGCTGTTTGTGCAGTGGCTGTTGTGTGTGTAGTGGTTGTTGTGTGTGCAGTGACTGCTGTGGGTGCAGTGCTTGCAGTGTGTGCAGTGGTTGTTGTGTGTGCAGCGGTTGTTGTGTGTGCAGTGGTTGTGTGTGCAGTGGTTGTTGTGTGTGCACTGGTTGTTGTGTGTGTATTGGTTGTTGTGTGTGCAGTGGCTGCTGTGTGTGCAGTGGCTGTTGTGTGTGTAGTGGTTGTTGTGTGTGCAGTGACTGCTGTGGGTGCAGTGCTTGCAGTGTGTGCAGTGGTTGTTGTGTGTGCAGTGGTTGCTGTGTGTGCAGTGGTTGTTGTGTGGCCAGTGGCTGCTGTGTGTGTAGTGGTTGTTGTGTGTGCAGTGGCTGCTGTGTGTGCAGTGGTTGTTGTGTGTGCAGTGGTTGTTGTGTGTGCAGTAGTTGTTGTGTGTCCAGTGGCTGCTGTGTGTGCAGTGGTTGTTGTGTGTGCAGTGGTTGCTGTGTGTGCAGTGGTTGTTGTGTGTGCAGTGGCTGCTGTGTGTGCAGTGGTTGTTGTGTGTGCAGTGGTATTTTTGTGTGAAGTGGTTGTTGTGTGTGCAGTGGTTGTGTGTGTGCAGTGGTTGTTGTGTGTGCAGTGGTTGTTGTGTGTGCAGTGGTTGTTGTGTGTGCAGTAGTTGTTGTGTGTCCAGTGGCTGCTGTGTGTGCAGTGGTTGTTGTGTGTGCAGTGGTTGTTGTGTATGCAGTGGTTGTTGTGTGTGCAGTGGCTGCTGTGTGTGCAGTGGTTGTTGTGTGTGCAGTGGTATTTTTGTGTGAAGTGGTTGTTGTGTGTGCAGTGGTTGTGTGTGTGCAGTGGTTGTTGTGTGTGCAGTGGTTGTTGTGTGTGCAGTGGTTGTTGTGTTTGCAGTGGTATTTTTGTGTGAAGTGGTTGTTGTGTGTGCAGTGGTTGTTGTGTGTGCAGTGGTTGTTGTGTGTGCAGTGGTTGCTGTGTGTGCAGTGGTTGTTGTGTGTGCAGTGGCTGCTGTGTGTGCAGTGGTTGTTGTGTGTGCAGTGGTATTTTTGTGTGAAGTGGTTGTTGTGTGTGCAGTGGTTGTGTGTGTGCAGTGGTTGTTGTGTGTGCAGTGGTTGTTGTGTGTGCAGTGGTTGTTGTGTGTGCAGTAGTTGTTGTGTGTCCAGTGGCTGCTGTGTGTGCAGTGGTTGTTGTGTGTGCAGTGGTTGTTGTGTATGCAGTGGTTGTTGTGTGTGCAGTGGCTGCTGTGTGTGCAGTGGTTGTTGTGTGTGCAGTGGTATTTTTGTGTGAAGTGGTTGTTGTGTGTGCAGTGGTTGTGTGTGTGCAGTGGTTGTTGTGTGTGCAGTGGTTGTTGTGTGTGCAGTGGTTGTTGTGTTTGCAGTGATATTTTTGTGTGAAGTGGTTGTTGTGTGTGCAGTGGTTGTTGTGTGTGCAGTGGTTGTTGTGTGTGCAGTGGTTGCTGTGTGTGCAGTGGTTGTTGTGTGTGCAGTGGCTGCTGTGTGTGCAGTGGTTGTTGTGTGTGCAGTGGTTGTTGTGTGTGCAGTGGTTGTTGTGTGTGCAGTGGCTGCTGTGTGTGCAGTGGTTGTTGTGTGTGCAGTGGTTGTTGTGTGTGCAGTGGTTGTTGTGTGTGCAGTGGTTGTTGTGTGTGAAGTGGTTGTTGTGTGTGCAGTGGTTGTTGTGTATGCAGTGGTTGTTGTGTGTGCAGTGGTTGTTGTGTGTGCAGTGGTTGTTGTGTGTGCAGTGGTTGTTGTGTGTGCAGTGGTTGTTGTGTGTGAAGTGGTTGTTGTGTGTGCAGTGGTTGTTGTGTGTGCAGTGGTTGTTGTGTGTGCAGTGGTTGTTGTGTATGCATTGCTTGCTGTCTTTTTCTGTCCCTGTTTCTGTTTCTGTTCTTCTGTTGTAAACAATGCAAGAAATGAAATAACCGCGGTGCGAGAGCTTATTTAGATAGTCTTCACATCCTCGAATAAAATAGATTCAATACAAATACGGTTTAGAACATGAAGAGTGCAAGATTGCCATTGCAGATTGAAGACAACATTACCCCAAGCACACTTGAGTACGGACTCAAAAAGTCTACACACGGTATCCACATACCTTGGAACCATCTGCTTTTATCGCCAGGCCTATCGAACTCAGCGCAGCGCCTATACACGCTACAGGTTGCGATTATCAGGAAGTTAGTTAATGGATCGTCCTGAAGATGGCGCTGTAACCCTGAGGTAACCGCCATCTTCAGTCCGATGGAGTCACTTATCAAGTGTGTGATGGGGCGGTGTTGTAATATCCGGGTCCTCCTTAAGCTGGACAGCTACAGATGCAGGAAGCATTCTTAACCAACGCGCCGAGAAGCACATGAGTTAGTCAGCGTTGTGAGATGACAACTTTGAATATGAATATACACGACCTCATTAATGATTGTTTGAGACATCAAGCGTACTGTTGTTCACATAATGCCTGAGCTGCTGAATTGTATCTATAGCAGACATTAAAATACATTTTGAATCCAATTATGACATAAATGTATTGTACTCAAGCAAATCAATGTCCCCATTAACGAATATTCAATAGAAGCATATTCCTTTTAAAAAGATATTGAGGTTGAGGTTGGCTTGGTGTACACGACTTATCGACAATATCGACTTCCAGTGTTTCGACTTTGTTGTTTAATACACTGACACTGACGTGATCTGGACTCTGCGTGGTGGGTATATCCCTGAAGCAGGATTGAACACATGTAAACATTGGTCTTTTTGAAACCTGTGTTCCGACTCCCAGATCCTAGAGAATAAATTCAAAAAGTCAAACCTCAGGTCAAGAATGATTGGGCAAGTCTGAATTTAGCATTGTTCAGGGATCCATTTGAATTGTATTTGTTTTATTTATTAGGTATAAAGTTCTAAATATGATAACTTTATTTCTAGGATAAAATGTTGGTTTGGACTTCTGAGGGTGATTATCTCGTAGTGACGTTGACGTGTTGACGTGTTGACGTTAGTTTTAAACATGAATACTGGCGTATTGTTTTCTGACAGATTTAAATGACTTGATTATTCTTTTTTTTTTAGACACACACTCCAACAGAAATAAAGAAACGTCTCCTGGTTCAAATTGCAAAAATGGCTGTCGTTTTCCTATTCAGGAAATATTATGTTTTTGTTTTGTAAAAATATTTCTTATGATATATTTGATAGGCATTTAGTTTTTGGAAGAACATGAATACATGTCACTTTTATGGATAGCTACTTCTTTTATTCACTTACTCAGTGTTCATCTGATGAAGCAGCATGACGTAGTTCCTAAACGTCGTGACAATCATAATAAAAGATCCTTATATTCATAAAAAAGTGTCATGTATTCAAAATATTACTCAGACAGGTAGTTCCACTGTGCTAGAACATTTTTGAAGCAGTATTTAATCTTATCATTACTCAACCCTATTCCAAGGTAAATTTGATGAAAGAAACATTCGAAGTATAAATAGATCTGTATAAATGAACTTACTGACGTTTGACACACTTCTGTTAACGTGGGGAAGTTGGAGAGTGTGTACTACATATTATACAGCGATATATAAGATATGCTGGAGACTGGGGGCCATGAGAAATCCTCACGGATCCTGTTCCAGTAGCTTAAACTGCTAAGGGTGAATTTGATAATGCAATGGACCGAGTTCGAGGTCAGTATCTCAGGTTGTGCTTGTCAGATGGAGTTTGGCAAACATATTTACTCCCTTTATCTGCATTCCTGGCTATCTCCATCATCTGAACTCATCAAACACACGTGTATTAAACAGGTCATTTAAATACCTGGTCACCTCGTATTCGTCACACTAAACTTCACTCGTAAACACCTTCATCATATATTCGTCCGTCCAATTACATTATACAATTCTTTAGAGATAGGTGTAACTAAAGTTCACAACAACTTTATCAACCATTTAGTAAGAAAATTATATTATCTGCAAAATCTAGAACAGGTATAAATACAATCGGTCGTCGATCACACATATCCCTGCAGCTGTGGTGAGGTGAAGGTGAGGTGAAATGGGGTTTAACGTCGTGTTCAAGATTATTACACTTATATAGCGACGTGTGTGTGTGTGTGTGTGTGTGTGTGTGTGTGTGTGTGTGTGTGTGTGTGTGTGTGGCTGCTTGAACTAGGCCGGACAAATGCCGAGTTTATAATGCTTGCCCACTGAGATGCAATGCCGCAGTTTAACATGAATAACCCACACAGACACAGTATACTGACTCCGAGCCGACCAGTCCTGGGTTTAGCCCCGCCAAACAAGGTAACAAGTGCCATTTTTTAACGTCTTTTGAAATGACGCGGCCGGAGATCGAACCCGTCACCTACTCTTCGGGCAGATGCTCTGTCCACTCGGCCATGGAGGCGGTCAGTTGACTAATAAAACT